TAAATAAAACAGCAAGCTATTTTTATATAATTTCTATTGATAGGTCACAGACAGAAACTGTATGCAAATCTTATGCAATAATTGTTGTACGAGAAACATTTCTCTATTAGAAGTCCCAAATGAAAAAATTTTTCAGGTCTAAATAATTCATCTATATTTCCTCAAACTTAAAATATTTCCCTCAACATGCGTTGACGCACATAGATAAACTATGTAGGTCTAGTGTAACTATGAAATCCATGTAAGAAAATCAATTTTTATGACAGAATATATGATTTTCATGAAAAAATAAAATTGTTTTAGATAAAAATTTTCAACATAAAAAAAAAACATTTTAGAGCATAAGAATTTTTAAGTCAGAGAGAATCTTTTCAAGTTTAATCTACTTTGATATTATCTTGAATTTCTACAAGAAAGATTATTAAGTTTACTACCATAACACAATTCATAGATGCAAAAGCGTAAGTAGAATAGCATTTTCTAGTGGCTTAGCTTCAGGCAGAAAACTTCAATATATCCGAAAGACAAAATAAAATTAAGACAATATTATGACTGCATCATAAATAATCGAGCAAATCTGAATACAAGCGTTTGATATAGTCATAGCTTAGGCACTAGAAAATACAAAGCAATACTTTTCAAAATTTCATGAACAAAAATACTTTCGTTCCATGTATTTTCCTATCATAATTTAGACCCATCAAATTAAGTTTTACATTATGCATAAAGTATGCAGACAAGTGAGGGAACCTTCTCAGATGTCTACTTTCGATGTAAATGATTTTTTTGTCTATAGATACTACATAGTGTTCTAATAAAAATTGTAAGACGATTTGGATTCCTATTGAGATTTGACTAAGCTATCGAATTTTTAATATGCTTATTTTCTCAATGCTTCAGATATTCAGAAAAGTCTTTTTTTCGAATTTCGATCTGAAACTTAGCGCATACAGAGATCTCAAATATACTAGCTTCTATAAAAAGAAATTGCACACGTTTTGAATAAAGTCTCTGCGAGATATAAGATTTTCAAGATATAGACCCTTTTCTATGGATAGTGTAGAGAATATGCATTTTTTGAAAACTTCATATCTCGAAGAGACTTTATTCAAGACTTGGTGAACTTTTTCTTTTATAGAACCTAGTATAGTTGAGATTTCTTTATATGCAAAGTATCAGATTAAAATTCAAAAATACAAGTTTTTCGAAAAACTGGAGCATCGAGAAAATTGACATATTAAAAGTTTGATAGCATGGTCATATTTTCAATAGGAATCCAAATTCTTTGAGAATTTTTATTGGAACACTATGTTGTATATATAGGCAAAAAATCATTGAAACTAGAAGCGAAAGTCTAAGAAGGTTTTCTTGTAAGCGGCATTGCTGAAGTCTTGCTCAGACTTAAAAATTTTGAATAAAATCTTGTTATTTTAGGACAAAATTTCTTATCACATCACCATTTTATATAGTCCTATAAACAATGAACTGGATTGGTCTATCAATATTTGTCAATCTTCTTATTTTGTCTGTCATATCTTTTCAATTAACATCATCAGCTAGTTTTCCAAATCCACCTCAAAGACCACCATCAAATGCATCACCAGAGGAGCAGGCGCTTTTCTGGAAATTATTACATAATTATTATGCTATCATAGCTCGACCTCGGTAAATATAATATTTATTTTAATAAATTAATTTCTTTTACTTTTGTTTACATATAGCTTCGGTAAACGATTTAATTCTGCTTCATCTTATACCAAACATTCGTCGTTTATACCAATAGTTGATCAAGATTCAATAGGTTTGCTTTCTTCAGTATATAACATGGATCATATGTTACCAAAAAACATTCCAAATAGTATAAAATTACGATATTCCTATCAAATACATACACTGATTTCTTTTTTTTTCTTTCTAGTTAACGATCAACAAATCAATCTTGACAGTTTCTATGCATTTGGATATCCAGATCAAAGACGACGACGACGACGGCGATAAATTATTAGTATTGCTTTACTGATTTTTTTTTCCCTTATAATAATCTTTTTTTTTTCTTCGTGTCAATATTCGTGAAAGAGACATTTTTAATTACTGCTAACAGGAAAAAAAAAGCAAAACACTAACATACACAAAGAAAAACAAAAAAGAAAACTTGAACATGTGTCCCTACATTAAGGGAAAGAAAAAAAATAACAAAATAGACACGATTAGTTTTTTATTTTATTTAATGTGTCAAGTACGAGGATATGCAGCATCATAATGACCTACTCCATATTGATTATAAGCTAGATAGATAGTTTTTTGAGTTAATGATACATTATCCTTATGTTCAGGTTTAACATCGATACGAGGTAAATTTGAAACTGAAGTAAATATAGTTATATTAATATTGAGTGTATTAGCAATAGTCAATGGTACAATATCACCTAATGTTGAATCAGAAACACCATTTTTAGAAAATTTTTTAACTTCTTTAAGAAATGCAACTTTTTCTTTATCAACAAATTGACTATAATAATCTTCATGTAATCTCCATTGATCTACACATATTTGTCTTAAACAATCGGCAAAATCAACTAAACGAAAATGTGTTGGTAAACGAAATAGTCGACGTATTTGTGTACCAAACTGATGAGGATCATTTTTCATTTCATATATAAGACCTTCAGCAAGAGCATAAAATAGACAATTACCATCACCTTTAACAGGCAGTCGTTCAATATCATGCTTAGATAAATTATGATTTAATTGTTGTTCATGATAATAATATTCATCATCAGAATTATTTGTTTGTTGTTGATTAGAACATGAAAATGCATTACGAAAACGACTGGAAGTTTTCATTGATGGTGGATATGTTGACGAAATAACAGGTGATAACTGAGAATTTATTTGATTTTGTTGTTCTATTGGTGATAAATAAGTTTGAACAATAGATGATGGTTGATTTAAAGTAATAGGTACGCTTGTTGTATAACCGTTATAAAATGAAGGTTGATAAATCCATTGGACTGGTTGAGATTGTTGTTGTTGTTGTACTGTTTGTGAATAATGATATGTTGGTTGCATTTCTATTTAAGATTGAAATTGATGGCGTACTGATTTCGAAAAAAAAAATATATATAAATAAAAAAAACAAATGATGATTTTTCTTTGCGTTCTTCACGTCACCAAAAGGTAGAAGTATGCTTGTGATTATATTCTTTTTTCTTTTTTTCTCTGACGCCTACAATTATTGCAACCTCGTGCTATGAGTCGATCGATGTACGAAGAGAGTCGGGGGTGTTTATTACATTACTCAGTCGCTTGCTACACGAGTCATCGTCAGTCCACTTCGTTTTCTGTTTGTTGATCAAGATGACGAAGAAAACAGGAAGAAAAAGAAGTATGACATAAAAAAAAAAGAAAACAAAAAAGAAACTGTTTGTCTTTGCTCTTCGTTCGTCCGCTCTGTCTGTATACCATATGCATCATAGAGAAATATATGCATATACCATTTATCTTTGTCACGTCATCAATCTATAATGCAGGTATAGAAGAGTATAGATTGATCCAATGCATTCTTTTGATTCATATTAATCGATAATAAAAATTTATGATGCAGAATACAGGCATAACTAAATCATCGATTGAAATAGATGTATGTTGTGCTTTAAAAGAAGATATTGGTGATGGTGATGTGACTGCACAACTTATTCCGTTAGAACAAATATCAAATGCTACTGTTATCACTCGTGAAGCAGCAACGATTTGTGGAATATTATGGTTTGATGAAGTTTTTCGTCAACTTGATTCTGACAATGTAACTATTAAATGGAATGTAAAAGATGGTGATCGTGTACAACCAAATGAGGTTTTATGTACATTAAGAGGATCATCTCGAATATTACTTACTGGTGAACGAACAGCTCTTAATTTTCTTCAGTTACTCTCAGGTATTGCTACTCGATGTCGCTATTATGCTGATTTAGTTCAAGGAACTAATGCTAAAGTACGGGATACACGTAAAACAATACCCGGTTTACGCCTTGCTTCAAAATATGCTGTTAGACAAGGTGGTTGTTATAATCATCGTTTTGGACTCTATGATGCTTTTCTTATAAAAGAAAATCATATAGCAGCATGTTATAATAGTATTGATAAAGTTATTAAACGTGCACGTGAAATTGCACCAAATAAACCAATTGAAATTGAAGTTGAAAATCTTGATGAATTACAACAAGCACTCAATGCTAATGCAGATATGATTTTATTAGACAATATGAATTTAGATGAAATACGTCAAGCAGTTCAAATTACTAATGGACGTGCTAAACTTGAAGCATCTGGTGGTATCAATGAAACAACTCTGCGTGCAATAGCAGAAACTGGGATAGATTACATGGCAATAGGCACCTTGACAAAAGATATTAAGGCAATTGATTTATCAATGCGATTCCAACCTCAATAATGATTAAATAAAAATACTAGACTTTCTAATTTTTTCTAGATATACTTAAAACGTGACACTATTTTTCTGTATGTTTTTTCGATTAATAAATAGACATTTGAAGATGAAAACAAAAGTCGTTGATTCTATTTGTAGTATCTATGAATAACATTTATTTGATATTTGAATATATTATTGCACAGAATAGTTAAGCTCACACAAAAACAGAACAGAGACAGAGACAAAATATTTATAATAAGACTCGTCTATTTTTGATCAATCGCCGGTTTGCTATCGTTATAAAACAAACAACCGACAATTGCAATATGAATTTTTTTTTTGAAATATTTTTACAATCATTTACTGCCATCTAGAAAATCTTCAGAAAACAAATATTTAAAATACAACTGATCTTAATAGAACCTTTTTTCACATCGTACAAATTCATTTTTTTTTGACAAGTTAGCATATGGTTTCTAGTGCATCCATTGTTTACCCATTAATAAATATTGGACAGATTTCTTAACTCTCATTTTTAACATCAGCAAAAGGTAAATTTTTTTCTAGTCAAATGCCTCGCTATCGACGTAGTAATCAATATCATCTTCGAGATACTCAAATTGATCCTTTATTGACATATGATGGTATTAAAACAAATCCATTATCATATATTAATAGTGATATTCTTCCAATTGATAGTAATTCAATTTATTTAGCTGAACTTTATTATGAACATTGGGATATAAATTTGACGACGGAAGAAATTTTTCTTCTTGACCCATTTGTATTTTCTGATGATGATGAAAAAATATATTTAAAAAATAAAATTCATCCATTAAAATGGTTATATGATTTAATCAAAAATGAACAATTATATATATATTATTCATTAAAACAATGTACATTAACACTTGTTTATTCATTAGTTTCATCAAGAAATAAAAAACCAAGTTTTAGTATATTTACATTTTATAATTATTGTAAAGAAAATGATACAACAAACCGATTTTTTAAACATTTATTTGCATTTGATGATTATCAATCAATATCACAAATGAATAATAATGATTCAAATGCAAATAATATAATTGATTTTATTTATCAAGAAATTCAAGCAGCAACAATGATTAATATTGATAATAATAATAATAATAATGCCTCATTTTTATTTAAATCTTATTTAAAAAATGATGTTATTCAATTGAAAGATCATCAAATAAAATCAAGTAAATAAAGAAACAAAATTCTCTTCTAATAGCGACAAATTTTGAGGGACCCTTTTCTTCCAGAATATTTTTCTCAGTAGAAAACGCTGATACGATCTCTAATAGACTTAAAAAAACAACATTTGCTGCTTGTGATCATTTTGTTTTCCTAAAATCTTAGATCCGCCAGTGTCTTATATAATTTTTCATATATTGTTTTTTTTTTAGTTGATTGGATGCTTAAACGAGAGCAAGATTTATCATCATCAATTGTTTATACACCATTACATCGTTGCCATGATTTATTTGATAATGTTTTTTATGTTCATATTATATATGGTATACCATTACATATAAATGAAATAAATAATTGTCATTATGAACAATTTTCATTATCTGCTGGATTACTTGCTGATGAAATGGGTCTTGGAAAAACAATGTGTGTACTTCTAACATCATTATTAAATAAATGTTCAGATTCATTTCTTTCGGAAAATTGTATAAATATACATCAAACAATTGTAAATGATAATGATGAATTTCCAGTAAATAAAAAATTTAAATCTGATGGACAATTATCGTTACCTTGTATTTGTGGTAAAATAGCAAAATTATCAAAAAAACAACAATATTCATGGGAAAATTTTCTTTCAATTTGTACACAATGTTCTCGTTCAATACATAAAAAATGTTTAATACAAAATGAAAATAATCCAGAATTATTTATTTGTCCTTATTGTGAACAACGTTTAACAGATAATCATCAATTATTATCAACAGGTGCTACATTAATTATTGCACCAGCAGCAATTATTGATCAATGGATTGAAGAAATCGATAAACATTTAGATTGTTCATTAAATATTTATATGTATGAAGGTATTGTTAATAAAATACCAGTACCTGATCGATATTTTCTTGCCAAACAAGATTTTATATTTTGTTCATATGAAAATTTAAAAAAAGATATACATCATAATGAAATATGTTCAAAAGAACATCATTCAACAAGAACACAAGTACGAAAATATGAATATTTAATAAGTCCATTATTAAGATTAAAATTTTGGCGTCTTGGTTAGTGAATATATATATATTTTTTTTTGAGAAAGATTTTAATGTTTCTTTTTTTTTTTGTCTTTTTTAGTACTTGATGAAGCTCAAATGTAAGTTAAAGAAAAAATTAAAAAAGATTTTTTAAAAATACTTTTCGACTATATACTTTCGTTGACAATAAATTCATCATAGACATTGTTCGTGTGAAGTTCGAAGTTTTTGAGCATAGATATTGATCCAATGATATTAAATCGAAATTTTAACTAATGCTAGTTGAGTTGATCAAATCATATTGCCATTGACAATTTCTTATTAAGATAAATGTTTCAAATCTATTAGTAATGAGATATCAAAGAAAATATTTTTGATTATTAATACTATTCAAATAATTGTTATCCCTTCGTGTTAAATAAATAAAAAAAAATTTAATCAATCTTAATAAATATTAAAATAGGGTTGATTCACCAAATACACCAGCATCTAAAATGGCTCGATCACTTGTAGCACATCATCGATGGTAAAATAGTTTTAATCGATTCCTAAAGTAAATGAATTTTTTTTTTTATTAAGGTTTGTTACTGGTACACCATTTCATCGTTCAATAAATGATCTTGAAGGAATAATGCAATATTTATTTCCATTAACTAGCATTCCACGAGATCAGATATCAACATTATTAAGAAAAAAAGATAAAATAAATGATGTATTTTTATCATGGATCATGAATTTTCTTAAATCAATAACTCGACGAACATCTCGTCAATGTTTAAATGATTTACCCGAACAATATGGTAACAATAGATTTAAATATATATCTAATTATTGAAAAACAAAACTTGTTTTTCCTGTCGAATATTTTTTTAGAACGTGTTATACGTTTACAATTTTCTCAACTTGAAAGAACGTATTATGATCGAATATGGAATGAATGTCGAGATGAATTTAAACGAGAATTTCAACATCTATGGCAAAAAAGAGAAAAAGAAAGAAATGGTAATTTATAATCTCAACATTTTAATCTAAATTTTCTATTTTCAAATCACTATTTTAAACTTATGATCGGCATTGTTACAGCTCATCGGGTTCGAATCTAAGATAGTAATTGATAGAGACTATAAATTACAGCATGGTTTTGTTTTTATTCCTTTTCATTTTATTTTAAACAAAACTCTTATCTAGATCTGTATATCCTTATCAATATTATACTAGAGCCTTCTGAAAACCAACAAGCTCTTCATATTATCTTGTCAGCTTGTATATTGAATAAAACATTGATTTCTCATTATATGTATTTTTCCATTGAAATTCTTTATTTAAACAGGCGGAGTTTTACCAGAACAACCTGTAACATGGACATTAGAATTTGATAGTGAAATCGACATGGATGATATTCATTTTTTATCATCAACAGCTCGTAGTTGTCTTCAAACACCATTAATAAAACTTCGTTGTTTATGCGATCATCCACAAGTTGGTGCACATGGTGTTAGGTAAAAAGAAAACATAGTTTAATAATTACAAAAAACAAAAAACAAACATTTATTTAATGTTTTTGTTGTTATCGTTTTTTTTTTCAAGACATAATGATCCAGCACTTGTTCATTATTATAATCGTTTTCATTATTCATCGAATAGAAATTTTTCTGTTAGACGTCAAACAGATTTATTAGAAACAAATTCATCATTGAATAAAGATGATCAACCATTTACAATGAAAGATTTACTTGATTTATTAACAGCACGTGAACTTGAAAGTGGAGAAGATTGTCTTCGTCTTTCATTACTTAATTTTAATGGTCTTGCTAGTATTTATCTTATACAATATGAACATGAAATAACTCGACCTATTATTGAAAATAATAATAAAAATAATCAATATTATATTGATAGGGCTATTCAAACATATGAACGAGTTATTCAAACAGCTGAAATTTATAAAGAACATTTTCATGCTGATTCATTTCAATTAGCTCATGCATATTATAATCTTTCATATTCAATTTCATTATTAACTAAAAATGAAAATTCCAATATGAATATTCAAAGGTTTAAAAATATTTTAAAATCTATTTTCTTTTTTTTATTATAAATAAAATTTTTTGTTTTTAGTAAATTTTCAAGTGATGAAGCATTAAATGAATTTAATAAAATTAAAGAACGACATCAAACACAATCGGAACATGAAATGAGTGAAGCATGGAAAAATTATAATGATAAATTATTAAGAAAAAAAGAAGTTGAAAATGATATTAAAAATTTACTTATAGATATATCAACATGTATTAAACCAATTGAAAATGAAACAGTTGATATACATTATCATGTTAATCGTGAACGACAATTACCATTTACAACATGGAATGGATTTTTATTAAAATTAGTTCAAGAATTTGATAAATTACAACAAATTCGAGAAAATTTATTAATTTATATTGAAGCATTAAAACGACAACCAAATGATGATGATGTTGCAAAGATGACTGCATGTTCAAAATGTGGTTTAGATAATGATTCATTAAATGAAAATATTTGTATTTTTTGTGAATGTGAAACTGTTATGAAAAGTTATAATTGCAGGTATATGATAAATTACATGGATTTTATAAATAAGAATTATGAAACATGTTTAGTTAATTTTTTAGAGAAATATTCGAAAGCTAAAATTCATAGGAGTTTACCTTGTTTTGTGTAATCAATGAATAGCTTCTTTTTTTGACGAATTTAATATTAGATTATCATTCTCTGAAATGACATATTGACAACGAATATTTTTGTTATTATTTCAATCAATAGCTACAGATATATCAACTACGTAGAATTTAATAGTCTGCATAGGTTTTCATAATACAGTTAATTTTCTGTTGATCGATTTGAGACTTACGAGGGAAGGTCCCCAACTGTCAAATCGCTTTCGAGTCAGGAGTACATGCATAATGTAGGTCCCAATGAGCTATGAATACTCTGAAAAGAGTTCGGGCCGCTAGCTTATTATTGTTGAGATACTGCGTTTTTGCGATATTTTCAACTAAGCACAATGCCGTGCTCCCCATCAGGAGCCGGAAAAACTGATTTTTGAACTTTGACTTGAAACTTTGCACAGAAATAGGCTTCTATGAGAGTAGTTTATTGTGAAAGTTTCAGGTCTTTTGGTTGTTCCTACCCTGAGATACGGCTAAAAAGCATGTTTCTTACATCACTTGTATACCCCCCAACAGGTTCTAATGTTCTTATTTCAGAACAGGAACAACCAAAAGATCTGCAACTTTCACAATAAAAAACTCTCACGTAGGCCTGTTTTTGTGCAAAGTTTCAAGGCGAAATTCGAAACTCTTTTTTTCTGGTGTTCCTGAGGGGAGCCACGGTATTGTACTTAAAAATATCGCAAAAATGCAGTATCTCAACAGTAATAAGCTAGCGACNAATCAAAAAAATGAGTTTCTGGTAGTAGTAATAAATTCAAAAAGAGAGCTGCAAAAACAACGAAAAACGCAAATATTCTGTATTTGTCGATTCAGAATTTTTTCATTGTACTTAAATTATTTTTCGATAGGTGAACGTAAGAAAATAAGCAAATATATGGGGTGATAGAGATTTTTAAGCTCTATCAGAATCTATAACTTCTTTTTTTTAATAGGTAATCCTATATGGATGAAAAATTCAAAGAACTAATTTTGATTGGAGAAAAAAAATAAAATTTTTGGGAATCGCGATATAGGGGTGTCTTCGTTGTATGCAATTTATTTCGGTAACGAATAGATCTCAACAAAAACATAATTATACAACATGATAGAGAACTCCACGGACTTTCAGAATATGTAATTTGTATTTTTAAAATGTACTTCTTTAGTGCAAATATATTCGAAATACAAAGTCCAACTTTTGCTTTCCAGGGGTTTATATTGATTATTATTATTATGCTGGTGTCAAAGGTGTTTTCGTCTATGCAATGTTTCAACTGAAATACGGCTTAAGAAAAATTCTCTATTCTTACTAAATTATATTCTATTATATAGAATAAGAACAAATGAATTATAAGACTAGCTGTGTATGAAATTTCTGTGTGTATATATTCTGTAACACTACTTAAATTTAGTGAATCATGGTTCATTTAACTGAGATCCAACAATTTCATTTTGTCATGTTCAAATGAATAAAGCCTGTTCATGTATTCTGCTTTTTTATCGACAATCTCTCAGTTATTTCTGATTTTTCACGATAATGATTTTTATCTTTATAATATATCATGTCGATAAACAAATGATATTAAATGAATATAAATATGTTATTATAATTGTTGCATATTCATTTAGTTACGCTGAATGATCACAAGTTGGATTCCTTTATTAATCGATGTTATTATATGTGACAAAAAACTCTCCGAAAAATTTGTTCCACAATTTCTATGCAATATATATATATTCCAAAAACAATATTGAGAATTTTATTTTATCTAGTTTTGTTCAAATTGCGTTATTCGATGAGAAATGAAGATAAGAATAGGTTACAAAATAAGTCAAACTAAAGACGTGTTTAAGTCTAAAAAGTAGCAATCTTAGAAAAAATATCACATTATTCATGGATGAAATGTTAAAAGAGAAATTAATCCAAGAAAGAAAAATAAATGACCAATGGGTATTGAAACAGTGTTTGCATGTGATCCCATTGCAAGCCAAAAAGAATCATTTGTATAGGATATAATCCAATCTTTGTAAACAGCTACACGAGTATAAAGACCAGAATATGATGATCGTGCACATCCAATACCACTACTTGTTAGACCAACTAATACCCATTGATTACTTGTTGTAAACATCATCAATGGACCACCAGAATCACCTTGACATGTATCTATAGAAAGTATGACAGCAAGTTAAATTACAATAACATAAAACAAGTTAAAAGTTACCTTTGATATATCCAGGAGCTCCAGCACAGAATTGTGTTCTTTTGTCTTCTATCATTGATGCACAAGTCGATACTAGATAGTCTATTGTTTGCAAGGTAACTTGTTGAAGACTTGTTGGAAAAGAACCACCCTCAGACAATCTACCCCATCCGACTGCTACAACCTATGAAAAGAAATAGGTAATAACTATCGAAGAGATGAAGAAACTTACAATCGTATTAGCTACTGGCCATTTGCCAGATGCCAGAATTGCTGAACTGATGAGTGGCATACAGATTCGACTCAGATGATCATCACTCATGTTGAGTGGAGAAGTAAGTTTTAATAGAGCAATATCATTGGTAAAAGTGTGACTATTATAGTAGGGATGTATAATAATCTGTGACACTGTTCGATTTTGAATACCGGACCATCGATTATTGGATCCTGCATAAATAGTGACCGAAGAAGCTAAGCTATTTTCTACACAATGGGCTGCCGTGATGATCCATGAATTTGAGATTATTGATCCACCACATAAGTAATCACCATCAATAGAAATCGACACAGCCCAACTCCAAGCTGATGCACCAGCGTCTTCTCCACCTACAATTCGGCTAATTGAAACTGGACTTGATGAACATCCACAAGCGACACTTGAATTGCATGAATACAGTACTTGATAAGTCGGTTGAACAGTCGCAAGTAAAAATATTATACAAAAGAAAGTCATGACGTTGAATTTTAATTATTTCATTGCTTAACTGAATCTAGTCATCGAAATGGCAAACGCTAGTTTTATATAAATGAATATTAATAATAGAATGAATCATCCACCTATGCATTTATTTTTCTGTCTCATTCATAGTTTTTTCTCTAAACATCACAAGTACCGTCATCGTCATTCAATAGAATAGTTTCGTATTAATGTGTTTATTTATTGCAGTTTTTGACAGAAATCATCATGAATAAAATAAACTCCTTCATTCATTTTGTTTCATATAGATTCTTTTCAATCTGATGACTCATTCGTAACAGAACAAGAAAACAACAATCTCATGATCAATCATACTACCTAACTTTTTGTAAGCATAGAGTATTTGAGTTATTTATTTAAGTGTTCGGATGCTACTTACTTCGATCATGAAAATAATCTCTTTTAGAATGAAGTTTAGAGTAACTTTATATATGTTTTCTTTTACTTTCAAATCATGAGAAACAAAAACTCTACAAAACAATTTAATCGGGATTCTTTGGCAATTCCTTTCTTTCTAATGTTGAAGTTTTATGATAGTACACATTCGAAAAGTGGGTAAGAAAAGCAAAAACACAATGAGTTTATTAGAGTAACCTTTACATGTTGTTTTTTTCTTGATCGATTTTTTTTCTCAACTATTCGCAAAAAATCAGCAACTCAATTTTTTGACGAGCAATAGTTTTCTTATTCATAGTATACACCATTTTTACAACGGTGAGATATTTATATCATTTATGAAAAAGGAAGAATTGACAGTGTTTGCGTCGTTGCGATACACAAAATAGATTGGAATCACTTTGAGAGATTCTATAGAATGGTTATGCTAGGATCTATACATACATCGAGTCATTGTTGGATAAATTTAGCAAGAACATAGCTTTGCAACGAAATTATACGTTGAAATTTTTGTTTAGCAAAAAGAATGAAACACCATAAGTTTACAGTTAAAATGTTTTTCAAGCCAGTTTTGTTTTCAGTAAGGAACATATGTGAACACCATATCATTTTGTACACGTATTATTTTCATGTTTTATCGTCAATTATTTTTCTGGTTAGTTAATTTTTAAACGCTCTATCAATGCGATTTATTCTTATTTCATAGAGTCAATAGTAGTTAAGATACAGTTCTACGTATGCTAAAGAAATGACTGTATTCATAAAAAGATAAGATGATAATTTATGAATAATTTCAATTATGCTTGTGTCAAAACTAAATCGTTTATAGAGACTCTACTAATGATGAAGACTTGAATTCGATACTCCATTAAATCGAAACAATATCATCGATGAATTTAACTACATTACGATTTGTAGCAGTCAATCAGCTCCTACATATAGTTTTTTTGACAAGTATATTTTGAAACACGTGAATATTAGAAAAATAAAATGTACGATACAAGTTCACATAATTAAATCATAATAAGTTAATGATGCTTTGTAATTTCAGATAGTCTATTACGAAACTGTACGAAAGTAAAATCAATATCGTTTTGTGATCATCATTTCAATATTTCTTCTTATATGATAATGAACGAATATCATCGAACTTTCAGTTGTAGCATTTCGTATGAAAAGTCAAACTTGAAGTTACGAGTGCTAATTTTCAATAATTTTAAGCTAGTATACTGGGGCTCGCTTATAAAACTGCCCATAATTTCGTACACTGTTTGAAAAGGACAAACAATGGCTATATCTGTTGAAGTACATTTTATTGAGAAATATCGTTGTTCGATGTCATTGGACTCAATAGAATGTGTATCATGGGTCGTAGGGAAATTTCTCCGTGTAAACGCAGGAAATGTTGAATTACTGAATGTAATAGTCTCGATTAATCAAGCAGACATCTTCACGTAAATGCTGAAAAGCGCTATAATCTCGGTAAGTCATTATGGCTGCAACAGAAAATCGTTCCTCTTTTCTCCAATACTTTTTAACACAAAACAAATAAACTAAAATGTAAATAGAAAAAGTTTTATTAATCTATAATTTTGAACAAAATCATGCGCCGCAAGAACATTATAGCAGCTCCCAGGATTTCTTTTTCGGAATTGTTTACATAGATCCCACTATACATCTTATCATGAAAGCAACAGAGTTATGCTGAGGGTGAGAACAGGGTTGTAACCGGTTCGACCGATTTTAGCAGTATTCTGGATAAAAATTGTTGAGAACAAGTTTGCGTGCTCTTATCAAAATAATCATCAAGTATTGTTTTAAAAATCATCTTTTATTTTCGTCTGCTCGTCCACATTGTTTCATTTCTTTATTCGAAATATACTTCGTTTTTTAAAAAAGTGCAACAAAATTGTGTTCCTTGAACAATGCTTATCTCATACATATTTTGTTGAAGATCAAATTTCAATTTGGATCGTTGTTCGAAGAGAAACATTAGGTTTGTTTGTAAAGGCTGAGTAAGAAAATTCAAACTTTGAAGTGTAGCAATTAGTTAATGGATAAAATGAGTCTTTTTCTCACTATATACAGACATATCACATATTCATTTTGAAGAAACCAAACAGATATAAACGACTAGGACATGGTATTTCTTCCTGGAAGTTTATAAAATTTGAGCGAAAAAAATGAAAATGAATGTTTTTGGAAACCATCCTCATTAATCAATTAATAATGACTCAACAAATCGATCAGTTTTTGCCAATTTCCATTGCCAAAAAGATTTTTTGAACCATTTCGAACCGAACTAGTTCAAAATTTGGATGAACCGGACCGAACTAGTTCTCAACCAGTTACAAGCCTGAGTAGATCTCTTTTTTTTTGTTATCGAAAGTCTTAAAAGTAAATTGGCAATAGGACTGATTGTCATTCAAGTATTCCAGAAAAGACAAAAGTAAAATTTTGCAGGTATTTAGAACGAAATTTTGCTCCTAATATCACTTTTATGACTAAAAACAATTTTGTGGATTCGCTGGTTTTTACCGATGTAGCATTTCTTGACAAGTTATATTTCTGGGTAAGAGCTGACACTTTCGATTTGTTTTTATTCTAGTACAGTTTAAATATATTATATGATATCGATAGATTAATTTAGATAAATCCAGAAAAAATAAGTTCTTGTAGTTCCTTATTTAGATTTATTATCTCTTGTAAACAAATCATTCAAATCTAAAATATCAAGAGTTTCATTTTCTATCGAAGATTAGATTTGATTCATTAATCAATCAAAACACAATTCTAAAGAGCCGAATAACATCTCCCCTCATCCAACTGTTACTATGGGAGTGATAATCTAAATAGATGAACACAGTATAAAATTGAATATGACTCATTATAACTACATTCTTTGAATAAAATCATTATGTACTTTCATGACGAAACTTTCAATAATGCAGCTCGCAATAATAAAATGTTCTAAAATATGAATAGAAATTCTCATTATCAATATTAATAGAATAAAATAAAATGTTTTAGCATGATCTGAGTGAAATTAATTCGTTTATAAATATATATCAGAGTTGTCAGAGAGGAGAAACTTAAAAATTAGAAACTTTTGTTTTCAAAATCAGAAAAAAATCAGAAGTTTTTCTCCATAACCGGAAACTTGTCAGACTTTTTGAAAACAAGTGGGTACTATGTTGATATACAGGTACAAAATATTTTACGTCTTTTTATTTTTCGACTTTTACTTTATTTTCCAAGGTATTACACAGTAACGAAAGACAACACAAATAATTTATAATTTATAATTGAAGATTGTGCATTGAAAGTTAAAGAGATTGATCATATTCGGATCAAATGAATACTCTTGCTGCCAAACTAATTGATTCAAAGTATAAGCTGTCCATAACACATACAGACTGAGATATTCGAATTTCAAGATCTTTACTGTCTATCATGTGCCCACACTACAAACTTGCATTAATACCTATTGTTCTTTTTTCGTCAAGATTGCATAGAGCATGACAAATTACTTTTGAAAAAACCATATCACGCATATTTAGAAGCAATTTGACAAAAATCAAAATATTGTGTCTGTTGCCCTTATAATTAATAATAATACTACCTTAGACTTCGTAGAATTAGTTTTTAATATGCGTGATATTGTTTTTTCTAGTGTAAATTGTCGTGTTATAAGCAGCCATGACGAAAACAGAAGAATAAACGTTGATGTAATTTTGCAATTTGGATACATGACAGACTGCAACTATCTTGAAATTCGAATATTTTAGTCTGTGTATTATATGAAAAGCTTATATTTTAAAGTAGTTTGTTTGGCAGTGAGAGTACGAGCTACCAATGATTAACAGAGAAAAAAGACAGTACAATGCAGATCTGTTATAGTATTGAGTTATATTCGTAATTAATTTGACTAATAAAACTGCCATCTAAATAGGTTTCGAATCAGAATATCAGAAAAAGATTAGAAAAATGTTCAAATTTCAGAAACTTTTCTGACTATTCAGGAGATTTGGCAACATTGATATATATATATAAATGTGCATAAAATCTTCATCATAAACTTTGTTATGGTATTTATGATTGCAAGTAATAGCCAGTGTCTTACGTATTTTTCTTTAGTGTAAAATGGTAAAATATTAAAACAATTTGTACATTTTTTAACTGTTAAATGTATTCATTATTCAATACATTTAGTCTGTGACATGACTGTCTGAACAAAAATGTAAATAAAAAATTATAAACACGTTTTTTTACATGATATCTATGTGAAATAATAGACTAATTTAAACATGAATAAAATTTCTCCGGTTTTTTTAGCAAGTTATCTACAAATAGAGAATGAAATAATGAAGTATGTATTTTATTAACGTAGTGTTTTCAGTTTACATTGTGCAGTAGAATAAGTTTGATAACTTTATTGATAATTGATGCTCCATTATTTGTTCACATCCACTCAGTATTTACTAATATTGTACAACATTTAGTGGCATCAATCATAAAAACGTATCCTAATTTGCTTATAAAAAACACAAATTAATCGTAAACAACATTGCAGTTCTAGTGCGTGTTGCAATTTTTATCTCGAGAAAATTTTCTCACGTGGCTCCCAAATTATGTTTTTTCTCATATTCTGCTACAATATTTCGTAGTTCAAGTATTCAATAAAATATTTCACAGATTTTTTTCAACATATCCTGAAAAATGAATGGAGAATTCTGTATTGTTATACTGGGACGATAACGCTGTATGAGAAGAGCGAAAAACAAAAGAATCATATTGACGACTTCAGTATTCTTAGTTGGTCTCATTTTAGATCTTCTAAAATAAGTTTTTTAAAGCTATTTAAAAAGAAATTCTGTTCTTAAAAGCTTTATCATATATCTTATTGTAACAAGATTTTAAAATGTATCACCGTTCTGTTTTGGTTCATTTTCCTCTTTTTTTGAATTAAAAAAAATAAACTAAACGATATAATAAATCAATAATTTCTCTGATTCTATTTTTAAAAAATGATGGTTTTCATCCTTTGAATATGATATACATATGAGACCTTCCTACAAACTATTAAGCTGAAATTTCACGCATAGACAGATCTCGGAGTTATTAGAATGTTCTAAAAATTTTTATATAATCAAATATTATCGTCTTGACTTTTTGAATGTTAAAAAAAAATTGTTTTCGAACGTCTCATAATGAATTTGAACCATTATTTGAACATTCAATAACTTGAGAAGTCAACAATTGTTTGAACTAAAATTTTTAGTACATTCCAATAGCTTTTACATTTGGATTTGGACGAAATTTCAAGAAACAACTCGAAAGACAGTCTTACAGAAATATTATAGCTAAATGCACGAATCCTTTTTGGTTTATCTAATCTCATCGGTTTATTTTGATGTGCAAAAATATAAACTCAATCAGTGTTTTGCACTTGGAAATGTTTCATCGTTAGCTTTGATTACATAATGTGATTAATCATTACTCTTCAATATGCTTGTTGTATAATGAGGTCACTCGAACTAAGTCATTTAATCATGTGAATAGCATTCACAAACATCTAATTACGATTCTCATTGTCGATAACAAACTCATTGAGGTTGAATGGTACAATGTCTTATATGAACTCGATCGACCGTGGCATAAAATCTCATCTGTGTAATGAATCAGATATATATGAAGACACAGATGAACATCATGCTCCATACAAACTTATGTTTCTCTTTTTCATTCTCTTTATTGGATGTACGTAATTTTCTGTTCTCTTTTTTGATAGTTTATATATTTTTTAAACAAAAGGTCTTTTCAAAACAATATTTGCGTCTTTACGCATTCCATATACTGGTCTCATTATATTAATTGGCTTTATAGGTGGTATTCTTTTTAATATTTTTACTAAAGATGATACATTTCTTACTATAACAACGGCATCACCTGATCTACTTGTCGGCATCTTTCTGCCTGCATTAGTTTTCGAATCAGCATATCGTACTGAGTATCATGCATTCATGAAATCACTCTATTCCATTCTACTTTTCTCAATTGTTGGTTACTTGATATCATTATTTAGTATTTCTACATTGAACAAATGTTTATTTCTTTTCCAACAATGGACTTTTCTTCAATGCTTAATGCTGGGTATTATTCTGAGTATTACTAGACCTATAACACTTATGCGTCAAACAGGTTTATCGTTGTTTTTTGTAACATTTTTTTTTTATAATACTAATTTGAATTTGATTTAGATAGATTATGGAAAAACGAAACGATTGAGTATTATTCTTGAAGGCGAAGCAATAATCAATAACAGTCTAGCAATTATCTTATTTAATGCCCTCAAAAGTTTTGTTGTTAATGATCAGTTGTGGCATAGTATGATACAATTCTAGTTTGAAAAGAACAAATATCTATATGATTGTATTTTAGCAATCAAATTTTTTAAAACAACAGCTATAGCTTTAGTAGGTGGTATTGGTTTTGGTGGCATAGCTGGTCTCTTGGAAATTATCTGTTTACCTCATTTTTATGATGATCCAATTAGTGAAGTTACCATAACTACTGCTATTCCTTATATGCTCTATTGGTTATGTAAGTGATGTATATATATATATAAGACGTAAATATATTATCTTACACGATAATATATTTTCATAGTTGAAAGCTCTAAATAAGCATATCAGTTAATTGAATTTTTTTATTTCAAAAATTGCGATAGGTGAACAAGTATACTCTTCTGGTATTATTGCCATCGTTGTTCTTGGTCTTATATTATCAAATCATAAAACTGCTCTCAGTTCAGAGGCAGCTATTTTTATGGAAAAGTATATCGTTTGAAATAGAATACAATTTATGCAATATATCCATCTGACTTGATTTATTCTGATAGATTTTGGGATATGTTAGCATTGATTGGCAATACAATTATTTATCTTCTCACAGCATTGGTATTGAAATATATTCTATTTAACATTAGTCATATGTTAAAAGAATATTCTTTCTAGACTATTGCCGAATTGATTAAACCAAATCTACGAGCTTCATTCAAAGATAATACCATTTTTCTTGAAATTGGACTGGCTAGTAAGTCTTACTTATATTTACTCTAGTGAATGTACTAAACTCAGAATGTCTGGTTACCATTATGTCATAGAAACTTCAGGTGCTTAATAGGATTTTAGCACTTGGCTACAAAATGTTTCTATATGTTGAAATTACTAATTAGTTAGAAATTTCACATAAAAATTCTATAGAAATTGGACGAGTACCTAGTAAGTACACATGTACTGAGAGAATTCTCAGCAGGATACTTAATCAAGATGCCGTAACATGCTGGTAACAAGGTACCGAAAAGATACTCTGCTGTCATCTGACTCAGTACATTCACTACGGTGCGAATCAAATTTTATTAATAAGTAAATAATTTTTGTTTAGTTATCAACTATTTAATTTGTTATATTGTCAGGTATCTTATCAGTATTTGTAAAATAGAATTTATATATTGTTGATCATAGATTTGTCATGATAATCATATTAACACTGTGTATTAATTTATGTCGTAACTGTCATCTATCATGGAAAGAATGTTTACTAGCTACTTGGGGCGATTTTAAAGGATCAATATGTTTAATTCTTTGTCTGGCACTTAAAAGTGAATTTCAACTTGCTGATGAACAAAACATTCATCATGCTTCATCAAAGTTTAAAGTAAAAACAATAGAAATTTGTTTCTCTTTTGTCTGTTAGAAAAAGAAAAGGAAATTTTTTTAGTATCAAGTCTTGATATATACAACTATTATTGTCTTTCTCTCCAGTTGTATGAATTCCACTTATTCACTTTTACTCAAAATATTAAGTAAATAATTATTTCAAAAATTATATTTTCATAATTCTTTATAAAAAAAAAAAGATTTTACAAAAATGTCTGAAACAAAATATCTCTACATGGCACAATGTGTAGATTCATTACGTACTCTTGTGAAAGAAAAAATTCGTTTATTAAAAAAGAATAAATATTTAGCTAATGCTGATTGGATTTTTATTGAGAAAAATTTTCGAATTGAAAATCCTCATACTATAAATATGATCAATAATGACAATAGAGATATCAATTTAAATGATCATAATATACAATGTTCTCATTGTCATCGACCAATATCAATAGAATTCAATCAAATACAATATGATGATTTATTTGAAGAAACTAGAATTCGTATTATTAATATTCAAAAAGTTAGACTGTTAGTCTAATCTTATCAGAATTTCTTTACATTTATTTTTAGACAAGCTTCTGGAGACAATATAGAGATTATGAAATTTCAACACAAGCTGTTCGTATTTTATCATCTCTTTGTGATTTTGTAATCGATAGAAAAGGTCAATATATTAGTATTGATCAATTGAAATATTATTATAAGTAAGAATATTTAAAATAGTTTTAATCGTTCGAGAGAAAAAGAAAGCATGCATTTTTTTTAGACCACGAACAATTGATTTTATATGGAAATATTTGGTAAGAAAAGGAAATATATATTTTGTCAATAAGAATATCAATTTAAAGACATCATGAAATTTTTTAAGAGATCATCAATTGAAAAATTACATATTTGTATTCGTAATGATTGGGGAAAATATCATAAGATGTCCAGAAATAAATGGCGATTATTTTATTTCAATATTCTTAATCATAACCGATTCAATTTATTTATCATATTTGTCATTCTTTTTAATGTATGTACTTCGAAATCATCCCAAGCAGACAAAAATTTCAAAAAACGCGTTTAAACGCACAATCGGGAACCGCGACTGTGATCCATTCACGCTCATTAAAAAAACGCAAGAAACGACGTTTTTTGTACAAAATAGTCAATTGTCAAGCGTGAAAACGGCAAAAATATAAAAAACTGAGCGTTTAAACACGTCGTNAAATTGTCAAAAACCTGCTAAAACCATGCTTTTTGAAGGTATTCTTCCTAATTGACCTGGGCGGAGACCCACACAGAAACCTAGTCGCAACCTCAAATTATCATATTGTGTGCAAATTTTCCTCCTCTATCCGCTTGTGCTAAACAAGAACAGAAAAAAGTTGTGAAACAGGTCTCCATACGGTCTCCAAAAAACCTTTTCAAGATCTTTCGGGATTTTGAACAAACTGGTAATGCCATCGTGTCTAGCATGGTCGAAAACATATCTCCATGCTTTTTTCATTATTTCTACTATTAATACTTGGTCATTAAAATTTTATTAAACTTGTACGCTAATAAATCCTAGGTTACCTCAAGCAAGCAGAAGTTCTTTTTTTCGGTCAAATATTTATGGAACAGGAACAAAAAACATATGGACATATGTTTTCGACCATGCTGAACACGATGGCATTACCAGTTTGTTCAAAATCCCGAAGGATCTTGAAAAGGTTTTTTGGAGACCGTATGGAGACCTGTTTCACAACTTTTTTCTGTTCTTGTTTAGCACAAGCGGATAGAGGAGGAAAATTTACACACAATATGATAATTTGAGGTTGTGACTAGGTTTCTGTGTGGGTCTCCGCCCAGGTCAATTAGGAAGAATACCTTCAAAAAGCATGGTTTTAGCAGGTTTTTGACAATTTTCTAAGTGTTAATTCGAACAAGTTTTCTGATTTCATATTCAGATTCAGCATGAAATTCGGCATCCGATTCACTATATATTGTGGCTTTTCGATGTTTCCTCCGCTAGGAGGGCGTCGAAATTGCCTTTTTCTGGAGACCAAGAAAATGAAGTTAAATAGAAGACTACTCATACCTAAAGCATTTTTGGTACTTCTGATACCGATATTCGTGATCAGTGGAGTCAATTACATATTACCAAGGGGGATCTCAGGCGTAAAAAATCTGACCGAGAGATTTCGCTAAACTAAGTGTCAGGAAAGAACCCGAAAATTTGTTGGACCAGGAAAAGGTCTTATCCGCCGTCCTCCTTGCTTAAAATCTGATGAAATTAAATTTAAAGATATTAAAAAGAAAGAGAGAACTAATGTGTTTATTGTTGTCTTATGGGAAGAATAAATTTGTTTATATTATTTAAATAAATACAAATTTTTACAGAATGCCTATGATCTCTATTTTTTTCCGAAGTCCAATCGTGCCCACTGATTAGTATTTTATCAACGGTGAGCATTTGAAGAGTACTGCTCTCCCGACGATTGATTTCATTCCTGACAACTTCAGATAACTGTCTGAAAGAGTAATTTAAGTAAAATACTACCATTGATTTCCATTGAACGTACAAAAAGATTCAAACAGCATAATATAAACATAGTATGAAGTTATAAATTGATGATTCTTGTTTTTTTTTCTAGTCAATCCTGGCGGATGGGTACCTAGTGCAGCAGTGAGAAGGTAAGCTTTCATTAAATTTCTCTATCGGTAATATCTGGACATTGTTTTCTTTTAATTTAGTGTGGCTAAACGTGAATATCCTCGCTTTCTGAAACGTTTCACAAGTTATGTTATCGAGCAAACGCGTGACAAGCCTATTATATTTTGATTTAATTCCATTGATTTTTCTTTTTTGACAAATATTTGTATTTTTTCGTCTTTCTCTCTCGATCTTAGTTGTTTTTTTTAAATAATTGCCACTATATTTCTTTGCATATCAGGATTTGTTTTCTGTATTCTGGTATTGATGTCGTTATTTCCTTCCCTTATTTTTGACACCATTTACTTTTGTTCTCACACATCATGTGATGATGTGCACATTTTTTTCGAAAGAAAAACACGAATTATTTTGAAAGATCCATAAAAAGAGAAGAATGTAAGAGAGAAAGAATGTAAGAAAGAAAGAATTGCTCTTTACCGATGACAAATGTTAACCGTGTTATCGTTTGGAATAAGAGCTTGTTTTTTTCTCTCTTAATACTGACTATTTAAAAGAATATATACATGTATTTAGAATGATAAAGAATGCGTCATCTTCAACGCCTATGCGACCAACTAATAATATTCAAAAAGATTCATATATGTTTTCTGAAGAAATACTAAAATCACCATCAAATCATGTTTCTATGGATGTATCGAATATTGTTACGCCACATCAATCCAAAAGTCAACAACAACAAAATGAAATACGTACTAAAAAATGGTCTATTGATGATTTTAATATTGGTCGACGATTGGGAGAAGGTTCTTATTCAACTGTAATTCTCGTTGAAGAAAAAAATACAGGTTTTCTCTGTGCTCTCAAAGTAATTAAGGTATTGAAATATATATATATATTCAAAATTATTAAATTTGTGTCAAATAGAATAACAATCTTAAAATACTACTTTTTTTTTAGAAATCAATTATTCGACAATATCAACAAGAACATCAATTAATACGTGAACTTGAAATTCATATGCGTCTATTTCATAAACATATATTACGCATGTATGATTTTTTCTATGATTCAAATCGTATATATGTTATACTTGAATATGCAGCTAATGATACTTTAGCTTCATATTTAAAACGTCATCAATGTTTAGATAATACACGAACAGCAACATTTATATATCAAATAGCTGATGCACTAAATTATTGTCATCGTTTAAAAATAATGCATCGTGATTTAAAACCAGAAAATATACTTTTAGGGCAATTTCATGAGATAAAATTAGCAGATTTTGGTCTTGCACTTCATTGTCCAAGTTCAAGAAGAACACAATATATTGGTACAATGGATTATATGGCACCTGAAGTTATTGAAAATGAAGATGTAAATATTGGTGTTTTATCATGCTTATCTGTTGATTCAACAACAACAAAATCACCTATTCCATATGAAGAATCAGCTGATTTATGGAGTTTAGGTATAATAACATATGAATTACTTGTTGGTACAACACCTTTTTATGATCCAGATTTAACTGTAACAAAAAAACGTATTTTGTCATGTGATTATGTACTACCCGATTATATTCATACCGATGCCGGTCATTTTATAAATCGCTTACTTAAATATGATCGACAACAACGTTTAACAATACCAAATGTCTTTGAACATAGTTTTATTCGAACATTTGCACAAATTAATTTTCTTAATGAAACACTTCACCATTTTGCTTCAATGCATCATTCTCAAAACAATACATAATAATTATGAGATAAATTGTATTATGTCAGATTTCTTTTTTTTCTTTTCGAAGAATGTTACATGTACATATGGATAAATAAATGAATGAATTGCAATTTTACGGTATTGTTTGAAGAAAATGTGATTAAAAAAAAGAAAATTGTTCAAAAGAAAAAATTAGTTGACTATTCGATAAAGCACATTAATTAATTTCCTAAAGCAATGTTTCTCTATACTTCATGAAGAAAAATCGAAGATAAGCAAGAATTTGAAAAGAGTAGCTGTACCAAAGTATACGTAAGAGGAAAAGCTTGATTTTTTTTTCGAAAAATGCGTTATTATATATAAATTGACAAATTCATTGACGCATTAGTTTAGAAGATCTTTACAAAGCTAGAAAGTTTCGAATTTATCAATTGCCAAGTTGTTCACCTGTGAAAAATTTCGCAATATGAAATCTTTTCTTCACTATTGTTCATGTTTTATCTTATCAAGTATGTTTTACCTTGATTCTGAGAAGGCGTTACTAAGTGGCCAAACATTGAGCAGCTAAGAGTGTGACTATCTGGAAAATATTGCGAAATTTGAGTCATTTCAATACGAGATATATGACAAAATCTTCACAAGATATATTGAAAAAACTGATATTTATTAAAACGATTATCTAGAGAACTTTCTTTATGGTCATCAACATCTAGCTTGTAATGCTTGACATTACCATACATATCACGAAAAATCCAATTTTATACTATACGCATGTTTCTAGCTTCATGGAAACAAAATATCTCCAATTGCATATAGTAGGGCATGTTTTCTGTGTGTTGACATATAGTGGGACATTTAGTATATATTTTCCAGTGTTTTCCCGAACGGTAAATTTGATGGAGTCTGTTTTTTCATCGCAACTAGGTGATGCTTAGTGGAAAACAAGGATAAAATTTCCAAATTAAACGAGCAGCGTTTCTTTGAAATATTTACTTGAGAATTTTGTCTCTATAGAGAAATAAAAGTGTATGAATAAAGACTTGTTATTTGTTCTAAAAGATTTGTTGTAGTTTTAGTCAATATTTTTTCATTCAAATCTATTCTTCAGTGCTTTATATAGTTTAATGAAAATATGCGATTTTATGTTATTTTACAGAATAAAAAAATAGCACAGGTTGTAGCAGAACAAAATTTATTCCAAGTATCTATAACAGTGGTATGTCGCGAGACTAGTTCAGAGATGACTCTGAGCGAACATGAATCCCTAATTCACAAATTCTAGATCGTTAGTTTGACAAATATTGCTGAGAATTGCAGAAAAATTCTACTTTTGAAGGAAAAAATTGGATCTATAGCCAAACAACAGCATCATTTTAAAACAGTTTAAGCCCTTTAAATTTTATAACTGCCGAAAAAACAATGCGACAGAAGAGTGATATTTTTAACAAGTTTTTAAAGTGGTAAGAATAGTATGAAGAAAAAATTTCGTTTGAGTCAATTCATAGGAATCAGAGCTATTCTCAATATGCATGTTGAAACAACAATTCAATCGATGTGCGATTCACTCAAAGATATACTACAAACAAAACTTTGTATTCAGTTTTTGCTAATTCAGAATTCAAATGGCATCGTTGAGATCTTTTCTTCTACTTTGTTCTTTAACTGTCTACTTGACAGAACCATTTATTCGTGAATTAACTACAGGTGCTTTTTTACATGTTTTTACCAATAAAATTCTGTTTATTTTTGGGTCCGAAATTTATAATATTAATGGAGTATTGACAGCAATCGTTTTTATCTCCAATTTTTGCTTAATATACTGCAAAGTATTTGAATCATTGTACTAAGCCAAACATTTATTTTTTTACTACCGTGTGAAAGAAATTCTGTATACTAAATTATGTTTTCTTTTTTCATAAAATAAACTATTTGGATAATTGTATGGATAGTTTCATTCAAAATATGGTGTCTTTATAGTAGGTTAAATTAAGCAAGATTTATCTTTACCAACACTTCTGTCATTGAATAGCATTAGTCAGTTAATCATACTGACTATTACGATGCTGCTGTCAGTTTATCTGTTTATCATTAATGGTGAAAATTTTCAAGCGAAAACATTGTAATAAAGTCAGCTTAAGTCAAGTGCATTACATGAATTTTGAAAGAAAATTAAAAAAAACTATTTCATTCTTTTCGAACTAGAAATTATGAACTCATAGAACGGCTAAAGCAGTTTTATCGTATTTTCAAATTTTATTCAACTGCAGATTATTAAGCTGTTGTGAAGAAAAAGCATTACTGAGTAATGACTTTACTTCATCTGTTTTTTTAGTTGGACACTTACATTTTTGATCCCGGAAAATTAGCACAATTGATCCTGGATACTTTTTTCGGAAAAAAATGCACAATTGATCCCGGTTTTTTCTAATAATTTTTAATTAGTTATATAATAACACAAGTGATCCCGGAAAAAACTATTTTTGTTTCTCGCACAACATAATTGATCCCGGAAAATAATGGTACCTAGAGACAATGTACAACTTTTGGGGTGGAGGGTGTGGGTGTGGGTGTGAGTGTGGGTGGGTTTGAGCGTAAATACTCACTTACATTCAAACCCACACCCACACCCACACCCACCTACACCCACATCCACACACCCACATCCACACCCCACACCCACCCACACCCCAAAACTTATACATTCCCTCCACATACCATTATTTTCCGGGATCAATTATGTTGTGCGAGAAACAAAAATAGTTTTTTCCGGGATCACTTGTGTTATTATATAACTAATTAAAAATTATTAGAAAAAACCAGGATCAATTGTGCATTTTTTTCCGAAAAAAAGTATCCGGGATCAATTGTGCTAATTTTCCGGGATCAAAAATGTATTTATCCTTCTTTCTTACTATAGGAAAAAAAAATATGAAAACTTCCAGGATATACTCCACGGCATGAACTGCATCTATAATGAAATTTTCAGCAAGATTGAACTTCAAAAACACTTTCTCTGAAAAAGAATTTTTTTTTCAGAGTTTTTATGAAGTCTCGAAACAAAGAATTTTTGTCTTAAAATCACTAGAAATTCTGACGAAGGATTTCAATCGTTTCGAATGAGCTTGAACTTCTCATTCGGTTATAACAACAGTGTTTTTTTAGTAGTTTGTCATGTTACTAATGAAAATTAAATGAATTCTTTTAAAAAATCGAGACATACTCAGACAAAAATTTTGAAAATAGAGACTTTATACTTTTAGAAGTTATCTTTAGAAAGTACTATATATTTTTCCAAAAAATATTGTCTCAATTCGAAGTTTTTTTAAACTATAATGCATGAAGTGGAAGTCGATGTCCTGTCGTTAGTGCTAGTTTTTTATTAATAACTCCTGTGAACAAAAGTTCATTATCCTGAGACACGCATGTTTTTCTGTTGCGAAGTCACACTGCTAACGAATGATTTTTCTCATTTACCATATGCATCAAAATTTTTCCTTGTTCTCTCGATACAATCATTTTTGTTCAATCAAATTCAGTTATTACAACAAGATTAATACCTAAGCGGTGCAAACTTGATCATTTATTAAAGGTAATACTGACAATTTTCCATCAAGTGGTTTTTTTCTGCCACTATTATTAATGCAAATCTAAATTTGAATCAAGTCATATGCCGAATATAAATATAATTATGAATAAAAATGCAAATATGAGCATCGTTCAGTATTCATTATTGATAAATATTGAAATTTAAGCAATATTTATTTGCAATAACTACACTTCATTAATTACATAATCATCTCTGATAAAATTTTAACATAAGTTTTAAGAGAGCACCCATGAGGCCATTGAGAAATCGAAGCACTCGATAAATTTTAGCTTTTTGATTTGATGTTCACATCTTGTTCAGCATCATCTAAAACCTCTAAATCCAAATTTTTAGCGCATTTTTTTGAGCTGGTGAAAAGTTAGCTCAATTTCACTGTTGAATACTCACGAGTCTATTTGAAGAATATCGTCAAAAATTGTTGATGTAAAGTTGAGTTTTTTTAGATGATATGAAATTAACAAAATTTTTCGTGTAATATGTCAAAAGATAGGGTATAGAAAGCTGAACAAAATTACCTATTTACATATTATATTTTGATGGACTAAACCTAAGTTATTTGTCAAATATTGTCTATGATTGACCATCTTTGAAGTAAAAAATGTGTCAAATGTTGACAGTTTGTCAGCTACCATTCAGTCATTCTACGAGTTTCCAGACTGAATTTCACATATGTTGTACAACTTTTTCTCCTCTACAAAATGGTTAAAAACAGGTTTAAAAACAAGTGTCGAAAAATGACTTACAAGGTTGACCAACTAGACAGTGTTTATAGGAAGATTTTAGGTTACTTTATTAGCATGGGATACATTCACCAATTTCCAAAATAGTACTCTTATACATATTTTTTTGTTCTCTCTTTTTTGAGGGCGGATGTGAGTGAAAAGAAGACCCACACCCACATCCCAAAAACTAAAATATTCCCTTAAAAATGTCGTTTTTCGATCCTTTTTCACTTTTGAAATTTCTAACATTCGACAGAGTCCAATAAAATAGGCTCTCATATAGCACTAGTCTTAGACCGAATCGTTCGATGAAATATCCATGGAATCCTCTTTTGATTGTTTTTAGATAATGTTAACGTTTTACTAGTTTAATTGACGACCACGTCAGAGCCATCATCAGACAGAACATGCCAACCTGCATCGATTGATGTAAATTTCGAAATAGTCAGGGATAATGAATTGAATAGTTTTAGAGAATATTTTATGTTTATATTTTTCGGTATGGTGAAAAATAATATTTTTATTTATATGAAATTGTTTTGTATCTTTTCTTAAAACCTAAATATACTGTTCGATAGGGTTCGTCGAGCTGTGTCTAACAGGCAAGATTGCATACTTATCACATTTGATTGGGCAAATTGTTATGAGAAAAAAATTTAATCAGTCTCTAACATTCCTTACATCGCTCGAGTAATTTTTTAATATTTCATGTGGGTATTTTAATCGCCAAAACTAAACCAATGTTGCTTTTGGTTTAATGAAAGCAGAGACCATATGAAATTCTAACATAATATCGTATTCACAAATATGTCGATGAACAGAATTTTGATATACCTATTAAAAAATAAACTATACTCCCGTTTGTTGTAGACTGCTATCAGATGACAGTTCGTGATAAAATGAACGTTTTTTATGACGAACTCAGGATGAAATTCCAAAGTTCCGGTAGCTAAATAGGTTTATTTACTGATTTTAGCAAGATTTCTATGTATTTTATATTAGCTGTTCTAAATAGAAACTCTTTTTCGCTTCCTCTTCTAGTAAGACATAGTACACTTATTTAGAATACTCGAGGTGTTAAAAGATCGATTCATATCTCAGTTATTCAAAATGGTGTAGAGCTCAACCTGGAGATGAATATGTCTCATTGAATGAGGAACAGTTGTTGTTCCAAGAAAAATCAAAAATTTTCAAGTTGAGACTATGAAATCTAGTGATTTTTTTAAATTTGACATTTTTTTGCTTCTTCTTCGCTTGATGTTCTAATTAAGGACATTTCTTCTGCTTACTGTTCTAATTAGGAAAAGTGCTCTTATCTAGAACAGATGCACTACTCGTTAAACTACCGGTAATTACTCATCTATTTTTAAAGAAAAATTGATGATTTTTACAGTATTCAATGTAGCAGACAATGCCGATCTTAATTATGTAAAAAGAATCTTAAAAATGTTACGCAAATCCTATCTACTAATAGAGCTATTTTTCACCGCTGTCAAAAAACTTCTCTAATTAGGAACATTGGCTCTATAATTGAAAAAAGCTGCTAAGTCTTTCTATAGGGAATGTTTTGTCATAGTAGTATTTCATCATATTTTTATCGATCTACAATCAAAACAAATGCTTATTTTTTAAAATCTGAAATTTAACATTATTTACACCTTAACATTTTTTTCAAAAAAACAAAAAAATATCATCCATGTATTAGTCCTTTTCCTAATCTCATCATATTCAATCAATTAAGTGAAGCACGATTCTTTAAATCTGCTTCAACTAGCACCAATCGTTACCATTCATACGTTTGTAAAGAACAAACGAGAGATGATTCTTGTGTTTTATTCACCAAAAAAACGTCAAAAACACATTGCACACATTTCAATCGTTATTCGAGATGAAAATGAACAAGTACTTTTTTTTATTTAAGCTGCTGTCATCGAAACAATTCTCACGTTCTCCCTATGTGCAAAAATGTATGCATGTTCTAATGCTTTTTTTTTTGTTATTTCGAGCGAAACAATTTTATATTGCTTAGTTAGCATGTGATTGGAATGACAAACCAGCTTATGCTTATAAAATAAGAATTCTCGTATTTCTTTTTTTCGTTTTTCTTATCTTTTCGAGTCATTGTGATATAACTTTACAGTTTCTTTTTAAGCCAATTCTAATTGTTGGTATTGATATTTCAATATTTACAATTTTTCTAAGTTGAAAAATGTAAGCCACATGCATCATCTTCGTTTAATATTGTATACAGTGGCTCCAAAAATTATTCATACAGGTGTAATTTCGATTTTTTTCCCTAATGGTAACTCCTATGAAGAATCCAAATAGTGATTTGGATAGAGAAAATTGTTTCCAACAAAGGT